GATCTCAAGCTTTATAATTCCACAAAGAAATCACTTGTGTGTTTTGGTTGCAAGCAGGCATCATTTTATCCTCAATTTGTAAGAAACATGCCTGGATATTTCTTACGTCTTAGGGACAAATATTTGATCCACAGCTTAATATTAACGGATTTTTTAAATGTAGACCCATTGTTCTTGCTTATAATGCTAAATTGCTATTTTATCTATTAAATTCTTTGGCAGCCATCTATAGTTTAAAAACATATGATTAAGTGCCCAGTGACCTAAATTTTATTGGTTTCAATAGATTTTCTTTTCATAGAAACAATTATAATTGGGAAGGATGGATAGAGGGATAAAAGTACCAAATCCAGTCTAAACATCTGGTTGATTGTGCGATCAACCATAAAATCCCAAATATATCAAAGTTGAAAGATTATGGAATAAATCAGATGTGGTGGTCCAGTGGTTATTGGCATACAGGGTGCCATACCAAAATACCTTGGATAAAATTTTATAAAAAACTATCATTGACAAAATGTCCATTTGTAAATTGCAAAATGCAATCCTGCTTCGATGAGAACATATATTATGCCAATAGGGGAAGAATTCAATGCACGTGAAGGCAAACACCAGCTAAAGAACTGACAGCCACGATTTCATATTTTTGTATATATAATAACAACAAATCAAGACAAAACAATTGAATTAATCAGTTTTCAGTTTGTATTAGTTCCAGGTTTCATCATTCTTAGTTTTACAATGAAAACTTGATGGGAAACCAATTCATTAAATAGAAACCGGAGGACTGTGAGAAAAAAAACCCAATATTATAGGTCCTCCAAGAACTTGAATCATATTTATATGGAAAAATCTCCAACAGTTATCACTTGGATGCTGAAGAAAGGGGTTTTTATTTATTGATACTGGACTGGTGGAGATTTGAGGAAAATAAAATGTTAGCCCTGAGTTACAAAAGACAAGTGCTAAAAGTAATCATTTTGCACATGCTTATAAAGAGGAAACCTTGCTGAACACAATGGAACTTGCTTCTGAGTAAACATACAGTTTTGCAAATTAAAGGGAGAAATCGAGTTTTCAGTGAAGAAGACCTGAAAAAAAAATTAGAGGGGAGAGGAAGGAGGGAGGTAATGGAGAAGATAGCAAAATTCAAATTGAATTAGTACATCATTACAGCAGCACCAGGCAGAGCAGGAGAAACTACGCTGAATAGAAGTGTCTGAAACATAGATGGAAGAACAGACCCAGAAATCCAGAACTATAAGGTCCACAGGGGTAGTCAACCTTGGCTCTTTTATGACTCGTGGACTTCAACTCCCAGAATTCCTGAGCCAGCTAAGCTGGCTCAGGAATTCTGGGAATTGAAGTCCATGAGTCATAAAAGAGCCAAGGTTGACTACCCCTGTATAAGGACATACACCCAAAAAGCACTTTTGAAGTTGTCACAATGGAACACTTCCCCACTGCTTCAACAAAACTGCATAGACGATCCAGATAGTCAGACAAGGTAACACTTAAGGTTTTTTTCCCCTTTTACACCTTTATCTGCTATTTGGCTTCCTGGGGGGCAGGGGGTTGTGTTCAAAGCAAGAATAGCTTGAGGTTTTATTTGATTTTTATCCTGCCTTTATTACTTTATAAGCAACTCAAGGTGGTGAATGTATTTAATACTCCTTCCTCCCATTTTCCCCACAACAACCTTGTGAGGTGAATTGGGCTAAGAGTGTGTGACTGGCCCAATGTCATGCAGTCCGTTATCATGCCTAAGGTGGGACTAGAACTCACAGTCTCCTGCTGATTGGCCCAAAGTTACTCAGCTAACTTTCATGCCTAAGGCATGACTAGAACTCAGTTCCTTACCGATTGGCCCAAAGTCTCTCAGCTGGCTTTCATGTCGAAGGCGGGACTAGAACACATAATCTTCTGCCGATTGGCCCAGTCATCCAGCCAGCTTTTGTGCCTAAGGTAGGATTAGAACTCAGTCTCCTATTTCTAGGCCTGCACTTTAACCACTAGCCCACTCTGGCTCTTTGGTTCCCTTGACCTCCTTAGGATGGTGTTTCGCATGGAGGCCACAAAGTTTGGGAGACTTTCTTCATGCCCTTTGCTATCTGAGATACCTTCTCAGTTCAACCTGTACACTTTTGTCCAACCTTAACCAACTGCGAGCCTCTCCATGCTTAGATTTAATGTTCCTGTTGATGGATGAAGGAATGTTCCTGGATTCTGGCATTCTCCAGCCTTGGATAGGATCAGGAAAAGCCAGTTTCACATCCAGCCTCAACCATGGAAATTTTGAGCCACTCGCTCTCTTTTAGTCCAGCCTATCTCACAGGGTGATTCTTGTGAGCCTAAAATAAAGGAAGATTCTCATGTAGGCCACTTGAGTTCCTAGAAGTTAACATAGTGTATCAAAATCATAAATACTCTAAAAAAACAAATTGCTATAGCTAAAAGGAAGCATTGGATATTATTATACTTTGGGTTAAAACATTAATCCTGTGGCCCGGAGTGTCACTAACAGCAGCTCCTTCAGAAGAAGCAGCCAATTTATCTGTTTTTTTCCTTAAAAAGTGGAGCTAAACCAGCTGAATTGTTAAGAGGTATGAAATGGAAGTAGTCCCATAATTTGAGATCATTAATTTAAAATAAAAATTATGTATGACTAGATGTTATGAAGAGGATTTACCATTATGAAAAATAATTTGAAGGTTAGAAAATTTGTATTAGTCTAAATTGAACAACTGAAGCCCTTGTTATGATTATTGTTTCAAAAGGTTTCTCTATAAATAGATTGATTTACAGTTGTTCTATAGTTCTTGCTATGCTCTACAGCGCTTGCTGGAGATTGGTAAATTAAAGAACCAATGGCTGTTTAATCTAAAATGTTTTCATAAGACCATAGCATTCTATTATAAATTTAACAAAAATGAAAAACTACGATGAGAATTCAGAAGATGGAGAAAGAAACATGAACACATGACTTGAAAAGCTAAAAACTAGCCATCCAATCTCATGACCAAAAAATTCTCAAGTTACAGAAAAACCTACAAAACCAGCATAGCAGACATCTCTCCTAAAATTTCAGCTCATCTGTTTTAATTCCACAGACTTATTTTTTTCCTTTAAAACCGTGTTCCTCAACCTTGATAGCATGAACATGTGTGTTCATTTCCCATAATTCCCCTGGCCGCAAGGTGGCTGGGGAATTCTGGGAGTTGAAGTTCACACATCTTCGAAGTTGCCAAGAGTGAGAAACACTGCTTTAAAAAATAAAAAGCCAAGTCGACTTTGGAGGATCTAAAGTCTGAAACTCGTATCCAGATTTATCAAGTTCTCTTGGGCTGAAATCAATGTTCGTCCAAGATCACTCACCCCTTTCTGGAAAATTTAAAAAAAAACTCCTAACATTGGCAATGCTTCCTGTGATCAGAATGACTATACCAGCGTTATTATTTTTTTAAAGACCCACTATGTTCATCAACTTGTAATTACAAATTCTGACTGCTGTACACTTGGATCCAAGGGAGACAGCCAAATCTTTGCAATTGTCTGGGCCAAGCCAACCATCATTTATTGGATTATCATCTCTACAATATGAGACTAGCAAAATAGAAAGACTGAAATATTCAGAACTTCATCAAGGAGATAAATCTTAAATGCTGCCTAGAGCTACCCCTTTCAGCAAACATTCAAAATCTTTTGCCACATAAGGTTTTATTCCAAGGAACAGAAATCTATCGTGTAGATGTATTTACTTATTAAATTTATATACTGCCCATCTGCCTAGATCAGGGGTGTTAAACTGCCAGCCCGCGGCTGGACGCATCACACGGAAGCCACGCCCAACCCATTGCTGGCATGCGACATCATGTGACGTCGCATGTTTGACATGTCTGGCCTAGATGATGCAGCATCTGAGCATGCTCATTCAAGGATACTATCTGGTAGCGTGGGAGTAGCAACACAATCTTTGTTGGAGGAAGGCTGCAAGTGGAAATCTCTAAATTGCCATCAGATGTGCAATAAAAAAAACCTGGTCAATGCAGGATGCAGAATAAGCCAAGGGAAATTCAGAAGCTCACCAATGACAGCAAAGCCACCATTTGGTAAGAAAGAAGAATTTCCACTTGATCAAAAAGTCTTTCTTCATGATTTTCAGAAAAATCTGTTTGCAGTGGGGTAGGTTTTTCTGGGAAGCGCTACAATATGCCAGAGAAAGAGATGGATTCTGAAAAAAAAAAACTCATTTTCCTTTTCTATTAATTTTTTTCACACCCCCATACCAGGGTTTTCATGGACTTCAACTCCCAGGATTTAATTCTGTGAGTTGAAATCCACACACCTTAAAGTTCCCAAGTTCAAAAAAAACACTGATCTAAACTGATCACGAATCACAATTCAAGTCATTTCAGCTGCCATTCACCAATTAGATGACAGAAATTTCAGTTCACATCGTTCTTGAGGTTTTTTGCCTTGGAAAGAAAGAAAGAAAGAAAGAAAGAAAGAAAGAAAGAAAGAAAGAAAGAAAGAAAGAAAGAAAGAGGGAGGGAGGGAGGGAGGGAGGGAGGAAGGAAGGAAGGAAGGAAGGAAGGAAGGAAGGAAGGAAGGAAGGAAGGAAGGAAGGAAGGAAGGAAGGAACAATATTTGGACGGGACAATTTGCTCTGTTTTGTGGATAGAGAAGTACTGTAAGGTTTCTCATCTTGCACATCTGCCAAACAACATATTCTCTTTCTGTCTGTTTCATCCCCACACCCCACCCACAGAGTAATGTCTGTGTCTTATCTCCTTCAGAAGCGACCTTCTCCAATCTGGGGCTATGACTCCCGTAGTTCCTAGCTGGCAACTCTCCTCTGATTGGCAGACTTCAAAAACCACAATTGCATCAAAGGGCCCACCCCTCAATAGGCCCTGTGCACCCACCAGGAAGGAAAGCATCAACATGGCCAATACTACAAGTCCTGCCATTGACATGACATGACCTGCCATTCTAGAGCATCAAGGTTTCTCCACCGTGTGGTTCTGGAGATGATGCAGCAAAAGCGAACTGTTTCTGGAAATCTTCCTGGGCTCAGAACGCACAAAGTACCTGCCTTTATCTGGTCGTATGTGGTGCTGGGCAAACACACCCCCAGAGCAGGGAGATTTACCCAAGTCAAGATTGAAGTAGGATTCTGTGGTCTCTAAGGCATCAGCCAAGGTTTGCTCCCCATCCACTCCAGGGTCTTTGGGTCGTAGCAACGTGCTCCTTTCAGAGATATAGTTCCCTCTCTGCAAAAGGATAGCTGAGATCCCTGTGAAATTCTCCCCAAGTTGTGGGTTCTCCCTGTCTTTGCTACAATTCTGTTTTGGGGATGGTGGATTATGGGCCCCTCTGTCTTTCTCCACCGTGTGGTCCATCTGGTGCTGGATCAGAGCCCACCTTTCTGGGAAGCCCTGCCCACATTCAGGGCCCTTCAGCAAACATTCCTTCACGTGGCCGACCTGGTGATGAGACAACTCGGCCGCAGTGGCAAAACTCTGCTCGCACTCATGACACTTGTAGGGTTTGGTGCTCAGCTGCTGGATGAGGGCGGTCATTTCTGTGGATACCGGAGAAGACTTGTCTAGGAGGCTAGTCCTTTGAGGGATCCGAGCATGGATAGAGCTTTCTTTGAAAGAAGAAACATCTAAGGGACTCTTGGATCTACAGCCCTCCTGTGGCTTCAAGCAGGACTCGTCTTCTTGTAAGGAAGGAGATGAATGGCTCTCTAGCAGCCCACCAGAAGGTCCCATGGGGATTCTCTGAGGTTTGTTGTTGGAAGTGTTGTCATCCTGGTTGGTTCCTGAGGAGCCACAGAACAGCTGACCTTCCAGTGGTTTTCCCTGATTGACCCTAGAGAGAGCACTTCCTTTGGAAGTCTCTTCTTCTGGGAAGACTTCCTGAGGCTCAGTAAGAGCTGCATCAGAAGACTCCTCAGTCCAATTCTTCTGACGCACAGCGACATCTAATTCAGGACTAGAAGTTTCTTTGGGTTGAAGACACTCGTGTGCTTTGTCCCCCAGCTGCCTCTCCTGGTGGAGCGTCTGGGCTGAGGTGTCCCCCAAGGCCTGACCACACTCCACACACTGATCCAGCTTCCCACACTTCTGCTCCCTCTGGTGGCAAGTCAGGGCCAACAGATCTCCAAAATCCTGCTCACACTCAGAACACTGGTACAATTTCCCCTGCCTGGGGGTGAGCTCACCATGCCCATGTTCAGAGCAGACAAGAGGTCCCCTGTGACTCTGCTGATGACTCCCTAGGATTGAAATGTCCTTGCAGCTTTTTCCACATTCAAGACGGACCCAAGCTCCCTGTGCTTCCTCTGGTTCCATGGGAAGATTCCCTGCAACCTTGGAATTGATGCATGGCAAGGCTTTGAGGGATCCTTGGACCAATGAACGTTTCACATTTTCCTTGCCCTTCCTGCTTCTTTCATGCTGCCCATCCCTCTTGCGGTCGACCAATTTTGCCCTACACGCCCTACTGATTGCCAGCGAATGGGCTTCTTCATGCTCAACCAGAGCCACACGGTCCCTGCACTCCTGCCCACATGTGCCACATATCCAAGATTCGTGGTCCTCCTGATGGCAAGCCAAGGTTCCAGCATCCTCAAAGCTCCTCCCACACTCGGTGCAGATGTAAGAAGTGTGGCTCTCTTCGTGCTGCGCTAACACTTCCGCATCTTGGAAGCTCTGCCCGCAAATATTACAAAGGTGAACAGCATGGCGGCTCTGATGCTGCTCCACTCCTCCAGCATCTTTGCAATCCAGACGGCATGTGGCGCACGTTGCGCTGCTGTCCTGAGAAAGTGTTTGCATGTGCGCATCCTCCTCAGAGCTGCTGACATACAAGTCCTCCACGGGGGAAACACTGCTGTCTGGTTCTTTGGCATCTCTTTTCTCCTTGCACTTCCCACTCTCTTCCTGCTGGTGGCGCTGCAGTTCCTCCTCCAGGGCAAAGCGCTGCCCGCAGCCATGGCACACGTGGGGCCGTTCCTCCATGTGGATGCGCTGGTGGGTGATGAGGTTGGAGCTTTGGGAGAAACGCCGGCCGCATTCCTCGCAATGGTACGGCCGCTCGCCTGTGTGCGTTCGGCGGTGCTGGGTGAGGTGCGAGCTGCGGACAAAGGCCTTCCCACAGTCCAAACACGCGTACGGCTTCTCCCCCGTGTGGATGCGCTGGTGGCGGATGAGGGTGGAGCTCATGCCAAAGCACTTCCCGCAATCGGCACAGCGATAGGGCTTCTCGCCCCGGTGTATACGAGAGTGCAACGTAAGATTGGAGGCTAAGGAGAAACTCTGACCGCATTCCCCGCAAGCATATGGGCGGCTTTCGCTGTGGCACCGCCGGTGGCGCTCCAGTGCAGAGCTGAGTCCAAAGGTTTTCCCACAGTCTGCACAGCGATAGGGCTCCACCCCCATGTGAAGCCGCTGGTGCTTGACCAGGGTGGCACCGTGGCCAAAGCGTTTGCCGCATTCCTGGCACTGGTAGGGCTTCTCCCCCGAGTGGGTCCGCTGGTGCTGGATAAGCTCCGAGCTCTGGATGAAGGTCTTGCCGCAGTCGTTGCAACGGAAAGGTTTCTCTCCGGCGTGGATCTTGCGATGTTTGACCAGATTGGCGCTCTGGGTGAATCCTTTCCCGCACTCTTCACACTTGAAGGGGCGTTCACCGGTGTGCGTGATCTGGTGTTGAATGAGATCGGAGGAGCGGTAGAAGCTTTTGGGGCACTCGGGACAACGGTAGGGCTTCTCGCCGGTGTGGCTGCGTTGATGCTTGATGAGGTTGGTGCTCTGCGAGAACGCCTTGCCGCATTCCCGGCAGACGTACGGCTTCTCCCCGGTGTGGGTGCGCTGATGCTGGGCCAGGTTGGAGCTCCAGGAAAAGGCCTTGCCACAGTCCTGGCAGACGTAAGGCTTTTCGCCGGTGTGCGTCCGTCGGTGCTGAACCAGGTGGGAGCTCTGAGTAAAGGACTTTCCGCAGTCTGTACATGTGTTGGGACGCTCGCCTGTGTGGATACGCCTGTGGCGCACTAGTTTGGACCACTGGCTGAATGCCTTCCCACATTCGCTGCAGGGGTAAGGGCGCTCTCCCTTCCCTCGGGACAGAGGGGCTACATCGACTGCAGGCGCGTCGTCCTGTTCCATGTGGCTGCTAGGCTAAACGCACAGCACAATCTCCCTCCTCTTTCGGGGGCAATGCTATAATCCACCGCCTGCGGAAACGGAAAGACAAGACCAGAGAAAAATCAGAAAAAAAGAGCAGTTTCAACAAATTCAACACTGAGGAATGTCTAACTTTTCCATGTCCGCCTTTGCGTCATCTGGAAGACAAGTTGACTCTGTTCTCCCACTAATATGATGTCAGGGTGAGGACTTTCTATAGCAGAAAACTCTGCCTTGAATAGTCAAGCTACCAGTTCAGCAATATCTATAAAAAGCCATAATGATAACAGGAGAATGACCGGTGCCATGGTGTCATTTCACAAAGGATACAGATTTTGTAATTGTGTCATGATGAAGCTAGTACATGAGGTATGTCCTTTGCAAAATGACATCATGGCACATGTCATAATTTGCTCAAGTAATCTAGATACCCAACTATTGGGTATTAGTCCTTCTAGATCAGGGGTAGGAAACTATAGCTCTTTTATGACTTATGGACTTCAACTCCCAGAATTCCTGAGCAGCCATGCTGGCTCAGGACTTCTGGGAGTTGAAGTCCACAAGTCATAAAGGGGCCATGGTTCCCCACCTCTGTTCTAGACCAATAGAATGATTCTTCTAAATCAGAGTTTCACAACCTTGGCAACTTGAAAAGATGTGGACTTCAATTCCCAGAATTCCCAGGCAGTTGTGGGAGTTAAAACCCACATATCTTCATGCCGCCAAATTTGAGAAACACTGGTCTGAACACTTACAAGGCAGGAGAGGACAAAGGCAGAGCCAGTTGGTATCCAAACACTTCCTTCAATATCCATATGATTCCCTGTCATCTCTCCTGCATTTTTTAAAAGACGATTTTAATTTTTAGAAAATAAAATATGAAACTGGTATATTGCCGGGTAAATCGCCGGACTTGATCATCAGATTCATTTACAGAAATGCCCTATTATAGGATAGAAAATATCCAGGACTACTCCACCTTTTGGTAAATAGGAACCTTACATCTTACGGTGACAATCGGGGTGGCCATTTTATGAACAGGTAAAAACTTCCACAGCAACCATTGTCTTTCGGTAGCCACCATCCACACACTTAAAATTCTAAATGTGCTCTGACTCCCCAAAGTTGCCTCTGTATTCTGATATTGTGTTAAAGCAGGGGTGTCCAACTCTGACACTGTTAAGACTTGTGGACTTCAACTCCCAGAATTCCCCAGCCAATATGGCTGGCTAGGGAATTCTGGGAGTTGAAGTCCACAAGTCTTAAAGTAGTCAGGGTTGGACAGCCATGTTAGAGTGACCACTAACTAGATATCCAAAACCAAATTGTGTTTGGATCCACTGCTCTTGAAGGACCAGACTTTCAAGGCTACATAAAACACCCAACTCAGTGCTTGTGTCTCATTTTAATAGACTGAAGCTACTCTCTCTCATCCCAGATTCAGCTCTTTCTCATCTTCTGTTGCAATCTCTTCCAGCTTTATTTCAAGATATCACACACACACACATACACACACACCACCAAGTCTCTTTCCTTCCCACCTGCATAGGGGATTCTTAGGGATTCTTCTGCTTCCAAACTTCCAGGATTAGTCAAGTCTACTTTGTTCCTTTCTTCTGAGATCCTGGCCAAGAAGCAATTTCTAGAGGAACTGGAAACACAAAAGCAAAATGGTGAACTTGAAACTTAGCAAGAAGACTGAAAAATACAATTGGTCTGTGCTCTTGAGAGGAGATCAGCCAGAATAGAAAACTAAAAGTCTGCATGGGTTTTCTTCCTACTATACAGCTGCAAGAAAATCTGGGTGGGTGCAGGAAAAGAGGGACTTGGTTTTATTATTTATTTAATGCATTTCCATAGTGCTTCCCTTGAAAACTGTAATCTCAAAGCAGCTTCCAAAATGAAAATAAAACATGGCAAAACAATACAAAGACCTCTCATTAAAAAGGTGCAAAACGGAGCCATTCATCTAACATTCATCAAGGGGATAAGGTCTTCTTAGAATCATAGAATTCTTTATTGGCCAAGTGTGATGGGGACACGCAAGGAATTTGTCTCCAGTGCATAAGCTCATAGTGTACATATAAACAGCAAGTAATAGATCATAGATCATAATAAACAACAATTCATAAATCATAAGAAACCAATAGGAGAAGATGAGAGGATGAGAAATGAGACGGTGCTGTGGGAATTAAATGTTCAGCAGAATGATGGCATGGGGGGGGGGGGGGAACTATCTTTGTATCTAGTAGTTCTGGCATGCAATGCTCTATAGCAGCAGCCTGAAGGGAGAAATTGAAATAGATTATGTCCATGATGCGAGGGGTCTGTAGATATTTACTCGGCCCTCTTTCTAGTTAATGCAGTCTACAAATCCTCAATGGGGTCTTTCATCAGGGGGGGTCTCTTCCTTTTAGTTCCCCTGCAGAGGTTTCTCAGTGGAAGAATCCACACAGAGTTACATGAAGTTTGGAAATGTTGTCAAATGTCTACCTCTGTATGTAGCATCTCTTGACGTCACAAGAACATAACCCCTCCAGACAGAAACTCACTAAAGGTGGGTCCAGACATGGTGAGAAACAACTTAGAAAAGTTGACATCTGGGGAAAAAAACACAAGGCAGGTTTGTGAAGGCAAAGTGGGAGCAACAGCAATCCTTGCTCTTTGCGGGGTTGCAAATTTTGAAAACTCCTGCGACGTGCAGATGAAAATGCAACGATTAGTACATTTGCAGATAGTTCTTGACTTACAACCATTTGAAGCAGTAACATTTGAAGTAACAGCGGCACTGAAAACAGTGACTTATGACCATTTTTTCACATTAACGACCCTTGCAGCATCCCTATTAGTCCTGGGACTTGGGCTACATGCATTTTCTTAATCTAATTCTATTTTATTCTTTCCCTTTACCTCAGGCTGGCTGGGGAATTCTGGGAGTTGAAGTCCACAGGTTTAAAAGTTGCCAAGGTTGGGGACCCCCTGCTTTACCCCAACCTCTCCCCTCCCTTCAACACACTATCTTCCAAGTTAGCAAGATTTAGTAGCCCAATACCCCTCCTTTAAAAAAAAAAAGTCTCCCCGAGGCCAAGCTGCGAATCAACAGAAGGCTGAACTTCAATTGTTCTTTCATAAAAGGAACCCTAATAAAGGTGGTCCTCAACTTAACAACTATTGGTTTAGTGACCATCCCAAGTTACAACAGCACTGAAAAATGTGACTGTTTTTCACACTTAGGGTGACCGTTGCAGCGTCCCTGTGGTCACGTGATCAAAATTTGGATGCGTGGAACTAGCTCCTATTTATGACGCTTCCAGTGTCCCAGAGTCATATCACTTTTTGTGACCTTCGGACAAGCAAAGTCAGTGGAGAATCCAGATTCACTTAATAACCAGTTACTAACTTAGTAACTGCAGTAATTCAATTAATAACCGTGGCACGAAACATCGTAAAATGGAGCCAAACTCAACAACTGTCTTGCTTAGCAACAGAACTCTGGGGCTCCATTGTGGTCGTTAAGTTGAGGACTACTTGCATTAAGTATGTTCGTCGCCTTGGGTTATTTATAAAAATAATAACAGTGGGATAAAAGAAAGATCATAAAACGGAGTGAAATTCACTTAACTGTCTCGCTTAACAAGAGAAATTTTGGGCTCAATTGTGATCATAAGTCGAGGACTAGCTGTGATATATAGGGCCAATAAATTCTAGTATTAAATATGAAAAAATTGGAAACAGTCATTTATTTTTAGGATATGTGTGCCTAGTGCAGGGGTAGGCCACCGTGGCTCTTTTATGACTTGTGGACTTCAACTCCCAGAATTCCTGAGCCAGCATGGCTCAGCTTGGAAACCTCTCCCTTTCCCCTCAGCATGGCTGGCTCAGGAATTCTGGGAGTTGAAGTCCACAAGTCATAAAAGAGCCAAGGTTGCCTACCCCTGGCCTAGCGGAAGGTAAAAGTCAAGTCTTCTTTGCATTGATCTCAACTCCTGGAAACCTCATAGACAGAACCATGTAGGTTTCTTAGCCAGCAGTTTGGAAATGGCTTCGCGCTGCCAATTTCCCAGACATTTTTTTAATTCTCCAGTCTAGTCTGTTGTTTTTTTTCCCCTTAGTGCTCTCCCTTCCAGCCCTGCTTAGCTTTTTAAGATCAGCCAAGGTACACACCATTTTCCATCTATTCAGTCCAATAGTTGCATATTCCATTCCATCTTTTTTTAGATTTTTTTTTTATCCCACCGTTATTATTTTTATAAATAACCCAAGGCGGCGAACATACTTAATGCAAGTAGTCCTCAACTTACGGCCACAATGGAGCCTCAGATTTCTGTTGCTAAGCAAGACAGCTGTTGAGTTTGGCTCAGTGACGGGATTCAGCCAGTTCGCACCACTTCGGCAGAACCGGTAACTAATTTTTTGTTGCCCAGACCCAGAATGGACTTCCGGAAGCGGCATCCACACAGAGAACCAGTTGTTCACATATTTGAATCCCACCACTGGTTTGGCTCCATTTTACGATGTTTCGTGTCACGGTTATTAATTGAATTACTGCAGTTACTAAGTTAGTAACTGGTTATTAAATGAATCCCCACTGACTTTGCTTGTCAGAAGGTCACAAAAGGTGTTATGACTCCGGGACACTGCAAGCGTCATAAATATGAGCTAGTTTCAAGCATCCAAATTTTGATCATGTGACCAAAGAGACGCTGCAACGGTCACCCTAACTGTGAAAAACACTTTTTTCAGTGCCGTTGTAACTTCGAATGGTCACTAAACCAATGGTTGTTAAGTTGAGGACCAGCTGAACTCCTTCCTGTCTATTTTCCTCACAACAACAACCTTGTAAGGCAAGTTGGGCTGAGAGGGAAAGACTGGCCCGATGTCATCCAGCTGGTTTTTTACGCCTTGAGAGGGAAAGACTGGCCCGATGTCATCCAGCTGGTTTTTTACGCCTGAGGCAGGACTAGAACTTGCTGTCTTCTATT